AAATACAAAAGAAAAATGGAGGGGGTTTTGGCACACACAAGTGGATTTACAAAGTACAAATGGTACTGCTGTCTCTCTAATTGTAATTTCACTTTAGTTTAGCAAAAAAATTGGAGAACTCATTTGACCGTAGGTGTGGAATATGCTGTAGTAATTGAACTTGCTACTTCACTGAAGTGATGATGCTAGAAGTTACTAAAGGTACTGAAGTAGGATCTTTGTTTGGTGACCAATACCAAAAGGAAAATGGTAAAGGCTCCAACTTAATACATGCTGGCTGGTTTTGTTTGGCAAAGTTTTGTTACACTTGGCAGGCTTCTCTCTTGATACAAGAAGTTAAGAGTGCAGTGACGTTATATACTACTACTCTGAAAACTGCAACCCAATTGGGCTCCCTAGCATCAAGATAGCAGCTTAATACTGTCTGGTCTGATGTATTTCTTTAAGCTTCTGTTTGTCACTGCAAGTTTTCCTAGTGACATGAGATTTTTTTACTTGATGTAGGTATCGCTACTATAGATATACGTGTATCAGACTGTGGGTACTTTTTAACATTTAGAAAAATCTCATTTGAGATTCCAGTTTTACAAGCAGTGGGATCTAAGCTGAAGAACAGGTTTGTCTTCTCAATGTAAGGGAGCTTTCTTCAATCAAATGTAGGGTTATACTATATACCATAATTAGTGCAGACGGCCTAGAAAGGTAGCTAAGGTAATGTCTTCATCTCTTGTCATCACAAGAGAAAATACTCACAAATCAGATGAAGGCACTTAGTTACAGAAAAGAGATTGATAGAAGGTGGCATAGATAAATACTATCTACTTCCTGCCTTCCTCTAAAGGAAGCAGTAAGGTCCAAGATCAGAAGATGGTTTGGAAACACAGTGAGCAGACAGGCCATGCAACTAGCCATAGCCAGGTCAAAGTACTTACAAAGTACCTTGATCCTAGAAGAATCAGAGTGCAAAGGAACAGTTTTAACTGCCTGCCAGCAATGAAACAGGGAGGCAATATCTGGTTACTGTGACCTCGGAGATGGAGACACATAGGTAAGCAGACTGAGAAACTAAATTGCATGCAAAGCAGCATGGGAAAGCAGCTGTAGGATTGTCAGAATATTTCTAAGCCAGAGACATGATCATCCAGACATCACGGAAAGGTTACTTGCTCTGCTATGCAAGGAACCCTAATTAATAGTAATGTCAACAGCTTTAAAAGCTTTACAGCAATCTGCTAGTTGCATCAGTGAAAGGTTTGAATTGCACAAGTGATTCCCGGTTTATGTTGAGTATACAAGCATATGCCGAAGGCTAACTGCCTTGTAAACAAGTGTTAAATTGCATCAGCAATATTTCCAAAATATTTACTAGTTTTCCTTCTGGAGTCGAGGTGGTTGGAACATCACTCCCATGCTTTCATTGCAGAGAGGTGGCCTGAAAGGAGATGAAGGATTAAAACTAAGCAGTTTGACAGGGTTTTGGCAAGGGATACCAAAACAGACCCAAATTTTGTTTAGGGTATGACTGGCAGGTAAATAGGCACCGAGCGTAGTGTAACTGATAGCTCCTTCTGTGTAGATGATTCAGAGCTTGACCAAGACCTTAAAGATAGGATCTGTCTGTTCGCTGTTGGCAGTCCATTCTTGCCATGGAAATACTGTTTACTAGCAGTGCTTCAGAGGAGACAACACAATTAGCCTTATTATATTCCAAGTCATTAGCACTGTGTTCCAGAATATATAAACTGATATTTGATTTTATTCATAATATTGGGTATTTGTGATCTTGAAGATGCCCTCCTACCTTCAGTTCTGCTTCTTCATCCTTGCTTAAAGGGTAGCTAGCAAGAGAAGAAGAGTCTCTGTTTTCCCACCTCTTCTTTGGTTCGATGAGGTAATTTGCTTTTCTATCAGATTTGGCAGGAATACATCCTCCAACATCAGAGCAATATACAGAAGTTCAAATGAAATCACTGATGTTACCTTACAGTGTCACTTTAGGTGAAACAAAGCATAGCACAGTGTTGGGTGCTATTTAAAGACCAGTTATATGGGCAGAATGTGCTATATATGCTAGAAATCTGAGCTATTTCCAAGCATGGGGAAAATTATTTTATAAAACGAATGAAAAAACCCTCAGACCTCACCACTGAACCTTGTTCAGTCTATCAGGACTAAAAAGACTCCAGAATATCCTTCTGAAATGGAGGATGAAAAATTTTGTCTTTGTGGAAGTGGCTCAGTTTTCTCTGGATGTGGAGTTAGTACTGTGGATGGTCAGATCTTTGAGAGGCCATTGCTAAGCACTTCCTCTTGCCTATCAGACCTGAAAATCCAGGAATCGTGCAGGACACAGTGCCTCTAAGACTTACCTTCTTTTCTGAAGCTTGCCTAGCTCAAGAAGAGTGATCAGAACAAGGAAAAGGCAAGGAACAAGGAAGAAGGCCCTATGATAGGATCATATTATTTTTTCAAGTCAACTACTTTTACCTCAGAGTTGAGGCAAAAGGATTTGAAATTTTGGCACTGAACTGAGTGAATTATAGAAATGGACAGGAAATTAAGAGGTAGCTAGCAGAGTTAATGAGAAGGCAAAACCTATTTAAGACTGCACTCCATCTGAATTCCAGCTCACCTTCTCTCTCTATTCATTCCCTGTTGGCAGACCTTGAAGCTTCTGTGTTAGCAGAAAGCTGATTTCTGAGGAAGTTCTGTTGAGAGCATCTCTCTGCCTGTAGGAGTTAAATTCTTTCAAATTCTTTCCTATTACCTGCAAACCCCAAATTACTCCACCACAACACCCAAGATTCCTAACCCTCCTCCCAGAGGAAGTGTGCTGATTTGACTGCTGTGTATAGATTCAAAACTTTCAAATTGTCCTTTTTTCCTAGTTTAAATTTGCATTATTGGAACAAATCTTTTCTTAAGTCTATGAAAAATTTTTTGAAATTTTTTGTTCCTCAGCCAAAGCATTACTGCTTTTATTACTAATGTATAATTAAAATACAGATTTTAAAAGTCTGGATATAGACATCGACCTATCCATCTTAGCTTGTTCATGCAAATTGGCTGCATATGTATAAGTTGCATAATTAAAAATTAATGGAAGCACACAATAGACACAAGAAACCTGACAAGTAACAATAAACCTCATCAATTTAACATGCAGTCATCCTGCTTAAAACCAATAAGCATGCCAAACAGGCGAGGCAGGTTATATGCAGAAGGATTTTAGATTATCTTGTTATGATGCACTAAAGCTGTAGTTCAACCAGTTTTATTTTGAAGCCATTGTTACCACTGAAAGGAGGAGTCCTGTGCTTATGAACCTGCTATTAGTTTCTGCTCTCAGTGCTGGTTTCTGTATCTTTCTCTACCTCCTTTCCCTGATCCTTCTTGCTCTGGGATTACTGGGTGACTGTGGGTGAGGCAGCTGAGGAGCTCATGGGCAGGGCAGGAAGCAGGAGAAAAAAGCATCTGTGGGCTATTTTTCGACTCACTCAGTCCCTTGATGTTGTTTACCACACTCAACTGTGATGTTTCCAGTGTTATCCTGTACTTCAAACTAGGATGGGAACAGGCGAGTTGGAAGCCTTAAGCCAGGCACACATCTGAAACATGACACCTCTTCCTCAGTACATCCCTGTGCTGAATTCGTGGAGCTTTGTGTCTAGGTGAGAATGTTTAGCTGAAATATGCCCCTTGTTCTTGCAGATATGGTGTGCGAATAAAACTTGAAAATGGGTATTGCTTGCTGCCTCAGACCAGCCAGTGAGCCTCACCTCCAAAAAACACACCCAGCTTTCTTCTTGCATCTGCTTATCTTGAGTTCCGCTGTTCTTTCTGTAACTCGCGTACCTCAGCTAAAGAAACCTTTCATTGGAAAAGGTGAGCAGCCTCCCAGAATAAAAGGAGGCAGGCTGCTGTTGGTTAAAATGTAGGTTTGAAGGAACTTAAAATGTTCGTGTATACCTACATCATAACGTAGATTTCCGGTTTAAGTTACAAAGCTGATGCGAGTCTTAAATTCTTGCATCACAGACTTTTCTAAACTGATCTCCACAAACATAAATGAATTCGCCATGGTGGTAGTTATGGGCTTTGAGAAGCGCACCTTTTCTGGTTTTGGATAGCAGGTACTGATGTAGGAAGAAAATAATGGGAACACAATTTCCATAAATACTACCAGTATGCATGTGGGAATGCCCAAGTGCAAGGAAATTCAGAGGATTGGCAAGCTTTACACTATTGTGACAACTCCTTCCTAGTAGTAGTGCACATCTACATAATATTGGTCTGTTTGCTGGTGACAGATGGGCTAGTGTGAGAGTATCAAGTTAGAAATGGCCACAGTTACGCATTTCCGACTGAGGAAGGTAACTCTGAATGGTCCTCTGCACGTGCTAGAGAAATCCTCTTTTTCATGCTGACACTCTGCAGGCACTAACATCCCAGACTAGGTGATACTGTGTCCAGTAACTTCTCTGCTTTGCTGCAGGGATTGGTGTGAATGCTTTTCTGTCCACTGAATGTATAACCTGCTTTGTGGTCTTGCTTCAGAAGTAAACATTGAATACCTCTGAAATCTGCCTTGTAGCTGTAACCAGCAGGTCCTCTCATAACATGTTCTGTGGCACAATGACACCAACCATTGTAGTGGGGGAAAAAAGAAGGATATGGGTGGAATGAGGATGAGTTTCAGAGGTCTTGGAATAGGAAAATTTCTCTGACTGGACAAGTAAGTGACTTTTTTCACTTATATGAAGCAGCTGATAATTTTTTCAGCTTCTCAAGCTTTCTGTCGTCACCAGTAGCAAGTGAAGAGTTACCTTTTCACATTTGGATAGTATGCTTATGGAAAGTTATTTGTGTGATAAAGACTACAGAAATCAGAGTATAGATCAAGCTGTTTGTTATGAAGGATCTCTAAGTGGTACTACAATGTTACTGTTTTTTCAGTCTTGCGTTTCATATCCTTACCATTTTTTGCTTGCATCCTGTAGGTAAGGCACAGAACTTCAGACCAGGTAATGGCTTTGAAGATGAACACACTGAACAGCAACAGAGCAAACATGCTGAAAGAGGTTCAACTTATGAATAGACTCTCACATCCGAACATCTTAAGGTATACTGGCATTTTTCTGAATCATATAGAGAGAGGTTGTCTGTAGTAGAGCTTTCCTATTTCCATTTTTAAAAAATATTTATTATAGCTGTGGCTTTTGTGAATGTGTTAGGATCAGCTTCTAATTTAATGGAGGAAGGGGAGGAGGAAGAAAAGCGCGAGAAAAAACTTGAGCAAATTGAAAATCCACATAATTTTGGTATCTGGAGTTTACCAGCAGAGTAACTTATTTTGGCAAAAAAGAAGTTTTGGCATTATAAATTCCTGATGAATCAGTAAAATGATATGAAGCATGAAATTTGGCTTCTCTTCATGAATTTAGATTATGGCAAATTTAACTTCATTCCAATAATCTGTGGTTACTAATCTTGCAGATTGACAATGCAAAGTGCCACAGCTTCCTCATTTTTTTTAAATCTGTTTTCTAGTTTTTAGCATTTTCTTAGTGTAGTATTGCAAAGTGAGATAAGAGGGACTGAAGAAAAGAAGCTAGAGTTTAACTAATCTGATTTACCTGCTCTGGAAAAGAAAGAGGTAGTTCTTGTTTTGCAATAGATTGCTGGACACAAATCCAAAATGTTCCAATGTGTGTCTTCTTATTCCTTGAATCTTTTCAGTCTTGGTTACTCTTTTATGATGATGTGACAAGCAATTAACATAATTCGCTGAAGCCATGACATTAAGAAGTTTAAAGGTATGATGGCAGTGCACCAAGTAACCGGTTCTCCTAAACTGCTGTTGCACAGCTAGGATCCATTTTGATAGTCTCAAGCAGTACAGCTCTTTCTGAAAAGTTCTGGAGACACAGTGAACTTAAAGTAACTCTATTTCCTCTTCTTCACCGGAGTGTTAAACAGTACATACATGATACTGATTCCTAAAATCCTTTATAACCAGCTTTTCTGATCCTTGAAATCCTAGCTCAGTCTTCATCATCTGATGTGTAACAATATTGTCTTGTTCGTTTCCTTCAGTATTTATAAGGAGACATTTCAGAAGCATTTAGACTATCTGTAGGGAGTATTCCATTAATTCATGCCTAGTATCTTTTTTTTTTCCTTAAAAATCAAAAAACCTGTGAACTTAGAGAATTTTTACTCATACTAAATTGAATAAATATACTGTGATAAAACCAATACAAGTGTTGCAATCTGTCCCTCATGAGAATTCTTAGTTTCTCTGCTCCAAGGTGAGGTGAGTTCTCAGCAACAACTCTGGCTCTTCTGTTTGTTTTTAATGATGTAAGATACCTGGCTTTTTAGGTTTCAGGATCATTAATTGTTTATTATATCTATCCACAACTTCCTTTCCCTCAGAATCTTTAGATAAGCAACATGTGATCCTGGGGACTGATACAACTGCTTTTTTAGTAATGTTTGTGGAAAGAATAACTTCATAGGATTGGCATTGTCAGAATCATGAAGTCAGTACACTTCATCAGTTTCTTTGTCAACTTTGTGTGGTTTGTAAATCTTTATTTTAAAAAACATCTAGCTTTACAACTCTGTTCAAAATAAATAAAGTATTTAATTTGGACTGGGATGAGGGAAAGTAGGAAAGGGATAGTTTGACAGGCAAAAAGCATTTAGTTGCAGCTTAATGTAACCCTGCCTCCCCTGGAACGGAGTTACGCAGGTGTCGCTGAGAACAAAAGTTATTGTGCTCAGTTCTGAGTAATTGCTGAGATTTAAATGTCTTACAATGTCGAAAAAATCATATCGATGATATACTGGTCCCCTCTGGCCATGAAGCCTATGAATAATTTGAAGTCACTGGTGTTGCGGAGATGGTCCTGAAGAAAGAACAGAAATTATTGATTTATGCATGTAGCAGAAAAGGAATTCCATTTGGTCTCCCAGTTATTACACAGGATTGATAGAGAAATCTTTTTTCTGTGTGCTCAACTAAGCAGTTAGGAGTAAATACATAAGAAATAAATAAATAGAAATGGCTTAGAAATGGTAATCTTTGCACAATTTATTTTGATGGATAGACTACACTTGCTTTATGAATTGCTTCATTTGAGGCTTCTTCAAAAAGAGTTGGTTCTCTGGTAAAAAAATATTGCCTTTTCCTTACATGTTAAGTATGTACCCTTGCTGTAGGCAGCAAGGACATTCCTAAGGAAAATACAGATGAGAAAACTGTTTAGTTTTAGTTAATTCTTTTATTGAATAATAATATGCAGTAAAAACTACTATTTTTGCTTTCTGTAGCAGATAACTTGATGGTTTTGTGTGCTATGTGTCATTTTATTTCTGGTTTAAAATCACTTACTGCAGTGTTTCCAGTCCCTTTATATCTGGGAGAAGATTTTGCCCTTTTTAAATGTTACGTACTTATATGTCTATATATACCTGTATACACATACATTCATGCAAACATCTGTATTTATGTTTCAGAAACCTATAAATCATTGTTGCTTCTACTAATGTTGTAAAAATTAGTCTAAGACCTACTTCCCACTGTAGAAACACATTAAAAATAATATCTGATAATAATTTGCTTTTATGGTAAAGTAGTGAGAGGTGAAAACATCATTTTGTCAAGTAAGAGTAGCTGGAGTAGTGTTGCTGAGAGGTCA